GCCATCGTTGGATTGAATTTGCAAACTGCCATTATCGTTGGTCTCTGAGCAAATATAAAATCTCAGAGTTGCTTGAGACGTGGAGAACAGAACCACGACGTGGGAGGATCAGACTTCGTTTTTCTGTGGGACTGTGGACTAGTTTTATTTTCCTATTTTGCCCCTACAATGCTGTAACGTTGAGTTAAAATTGGGTTGGGACTGGGGGTACATTAGTAAATGAAAGTTACATGATAGGAATGAAATGGAGGATTAGGATGATTGCCACTAAACTTCTCCAATCCTGTTTTTTTTTAATCAACAATTTTGAAATTTTCCTTTATCAACACAATATTGATAATTTTGATCTAAAAAAAAAGAAAAATTTGAAATTAAATGAATAGAAAAGTGTTGTATAATTTGATATAACATGAATGGTACAACTATAACCGAGAAAGGATCTTAAATGCGAGGCATTTCTTCCTTAAAATTTTGATTATAAAAATATTATAATAAGAGATTAGTGTTTATCAAATGAATCTCTAAAAAATTATGAAGAATAATATCTAAAGTGATGATTTTTTAATAAAATATCATTAAAAAAGATTAAAACAATCACATTTTTATTTTAAAAATATTGTAAATTATTGTAATTTTTTTAATAAAAATTATCGAAACAAAGTAATTTTAAGATATTTTTTCTCATAATCTTTTAGAAATCTGGCAAACAACACTTCTCTCTTATGATAAACCAATTTTGTTGTCAAACTTGCACCGAGCTGCCAAGTAACAACCATTAGTGATCGGATATAAAGCCTGCTCTTCATCAATATACGTAGTTTGTGCAAGGTGAACTGTACAGAACTTTTTATTTTGATAAATGAGTAATGATACGCAGAACGATTTTGGAGACGAAATCACGGGATGACAAGTGAAGCAATCCCAACAGCAATTACCAATTTAACCCTGCTTCACTTGTCGTCCTGTGGTTTCGTCTCCCAAAATCGTCCCGCGTATCATTACTCTTGATAAATTATATCATGCAATTACTCTTTTATCTTTTCTCCAATTTGCTTGCCGACTATTAAAGCCTAGAAGAACTACCTAAGTTATTAAGTTGAGGATTACGGCTTAAAGTCATCATTTAGAAGAAGCATGTAGCTCATTAACTAACATGCTCTTTTTCGTTCTATGTTAGTCTTATATTCCGCCGACTTAAGAATTTAATGCAACACTCCTAGCAGAAAACACCTGTAATCTAAGTCTAAGGGTAATTAAGAACACAACCACTAAGTGTGCAACAATAAAGTTGCCATTTATAATGATCTTGCTAACAGGATAAATATGAGGTTGACAAACAATAAAGGAGCATAGAAATCATGTGCTCCTAAATATTATTATCTGGGTTTTAATTCTCAACAATTATAGTTTACTGGTTTTAATAGCCTTGGAAAAGTTCGGGGACGGAACTAGAAAAAAAAATAGAGCGCTAATTATGGGGTTATGCCAAAAAAAAATAGTGATTAAATTACACTAGTGTAAATTTAAGAAAGTACTTTATGATACAAGGAATTTATTGTAATTTTAATTATTGAATTTATTAATAAATAAGTGTTATTTTGTAGGATAAATTCAAAATTTAAGTTTTATGACCAGCAAATGCATTAGCCCGACGTAGGATGCACCCTCATGATTGTTCAAGGAAGAACTAATATGTGAGTGCGTAAAAATTGATCTGAAAATACTTGGACCATGCATTAAAAAAAAAAAAAAAGAACTCATCATAAAAAATTTGAGAGAAAAAAGTAAGTTGCATCAAGAATTTGGGCCTAAGGGGTATTTTCTGAGCCCAAACTATTTGACATTTGCATTGAGTCCATCGAATAATGGATCGGAGTCCAAAAGCCTGAGGTATATGGGCCTGAGTTGTAATATGTCCGAGTCCAATTCCCGGATTCAGATACGAGGAATACCCGTCAGAAAACGGGTCACCACCAATTTCAGAAAACCCGCTAAAACCCTACTCACCTGCCTGCGCTCACGTTCACCTTTGCTCTACCCTGAACACCATACCCCTCACAAATTGAAAATGGGTACACTTGCAGGGAGATTTGCAAAACTTCTTCGAGTCTCTGCTACTCCAACGCCCACTTCTTCTCTAGGTCTCTCTCTTTCCCTCTGCATTTTCTGCTTACATTCACTTCTATTACCCACCACTGTCTTATATATCGTCTTCTCGGATCATCCATCTGAATTGTTCATTTTTCTGTAATTTTCCCATATGGGTTTCTTTTGGGGGTTAGATTAAAGAAAGAAGCAATTTTTATTTGCATGATTTTGTCGAAAGTTTGTATCTTTGGTCTAGCTATCCTGCTCTGAATTACTTTCAAGGAAATGGTTGTTTCTTGTGGTGAATTGAGATTGCTAATATGTTTTTTGGGCTTTAAATGAAGTTCAGATGACTTCCCTTTTTTTTTTCTTTTTTTTTTTTCCTTTTTTTCTTTTTTTTGTGGTTGAATGTATATTGGTTCTTCAGAGGAATTTTCACAAACAGTTGGTGGGTGTGACGGAATTTGAGTAACAATAGTGAATGTTGTATGACTTTGTGTGTGAATGTAGTGCCGGGGTTGCAAAGAAGCTCCAAGTTGTGGTTTGCAACTGGATCGGGTGGTGGTGACACTGACATTGAGGATACTCAGGAAATAGAAGAAGAGATTGAGGATATTATTGGAGAAAATGTTAAGAAGAATGAGTCACTGCTCCAAGGCGTAAATCCTGGAAAGGGCTGGCAATTTCGTGGTGTGCACAAGGTATAAAATATTTCTATTCTAGTTAATTTGGTGAGATGCGATATCTGTTTTTCTGCAATTTACTAATTAGAGAACTGAAGTTTCTGCTGAAACTAAAGCAATGGCTTTGCTTTTCTGAATTTGAGTTGTTGGTTTGATGGCATGAGGGCATATTCCTTCCTGCCTCATTCTCACGTCTCTTTAAGGCAGAAATGTGACCCAAGGCGTGCATATTTGTGCAGGCAATTATTTGTGGAAAAGTAGGACAAGCTCCAGTGCAGAAGATTTTAAGGAATGGACGAACTGTGACGATATTTACAGTTGGAACAGGAGGCATGTATGACCAAAGAATTTCACAAAAGGATGTGGACAAACCGAAACCTGCACAATGGCATCGAATTGCTGTACATAATCCTTTTCTTGGGACTTTTGCAGTTCAACAACTTACCAAAAAGTAAATTTGCATTTCTGAAGCAGTGTAATTTTGAATTGACAAAAAAAAAAATGGAAGCTATGTTTTCTTGATGTTGATTCTGCCTAATGAATGAATTTCAATGCAGCTGTTCAGTTTATATTGAGGGTGAGATTGAGACAAGAGTTTATAATGACAGCCTCAGTGGTGAAGTTAAATACATTCCTGAGATATGTGTCCGTCGTGATGGTACATGTCCAACTGCCTTTATTATTTCACCTCTTATTATTCTTTGTTTTTATAGAAGCCAATTATTTTTGTTTGTATTTTGGCGTTGGGCTTATTAATTTATTAGTGTCTACCGATCTCTGAAATGTTTCTGTTCTAGTTTGAATTAAAACCGATTTTAAGTTCTTGGGTGAATTAATTTTCTCCTTAAATCATGATATCAGTGTCATATTCCACTGAAGAAAGTTCCTAGATAGCCAATTTCATACACAAATTTGAGATGGTGCTGAAAGTCACTGTCAGGGTTCCAGTTCATAGAATCACCTAGGTGGCAGGTGCCAAAATAGCACAGTTTTCTAACATAATTTAATCAATAATGTAAATTAAATATTACCTTTTAATATGATATATTTATACATTATGTGATTATTTGGTGTTATTGTTTCTCAACTCAACAGAAGGAGCTATAGTCGATAGATGCCTTAGTTTCATAAAACAAAATTACCATAGTTCAATATTGGAGCATAAATGTATTTATAACTTTTATTCAACTAAGAAAGATCCATTTAAGAGAAAAATCATGGTAGGAAACAGAACTTATGATTGTTGGACATGACCAAGTAGTAGCCTCTTATTTATCCAGACATTTTAAACAAAACATTTCATGCATATATAATGAAGAGGATGCAAGGATCTTGTCTTCTCTGTTGAAACTTTATCATAGAGTCTGGGGAAGAAGTTCAGTCACAGTCTAACATGGTACATCTTGACTGTCCTGATAGTATTGTATGCACTTTATCCCATGCAGGGAAAATTCACGTTATGAGGCCAGGAGAAAGCATTAACAATATATCTGTTGAGGATCTCCGTAAGTTTTCTTCACTTTTCATTCATTGATTCCAATATTTTTTAATTGGAACCACCTAAACAGTGATTATGTGAGAAGATTTCTTTACTTTTCCTTTTACCACGATCTGAAAACTCTTTTATAAATCTTCCTCAATTACCTCTCTTGACTATTACTTGCAGGAAAGGAATTGCTCTAGCTGTAAGTTGACATGCACTATTGCAATTTTTTAGCACAAAGAAGAGCTTCTTAGGCCTCATGCTTCGTAAGATACATCAATTGTTTTGGTTAATCAGGCCAAATCAAGGCAGACTTCTACTTGTTATTTTCAATGCTAGGTGGTATTGACTTCAACCTTCTTATCATTTAGTGAATGCTTTGCCCAGTTTCCTTCCATTTTCCTCAGTGTCTTTCTAATTTCTACATGGCTATGGAGTAGGTACATATATGTGTTTAGAGAATGTAATCGATTTTTTGAGTTTTACCCATGGGATAACTATTCATATATTTCTCAGAGCAATATATGAATGTATGGTTAATATCTGAGGGATCATTGGACAAAGTTGAGCATTTCTGGTTTTTAGTGACCACTTTAAAGGTTATATCTCAAATTTCTTGGATTTCATTTCATCAAATATTCAATATATAAGCAAGCAATATACCATGTTTAATGATATACGGTACTGTCTCTGGTTTTATCTGGATGAAAGAATTAGTGCTATTTCATTTAATCACGGAACACTTTTGAATTTATTGATCATACTTCACTCTCCTAGCCAATTACAGGATCGCACTTGGCTTACATTCTTAGGATTTTATTGGTTATTAATCTCTGTTACAAAAGCTATGTTGACTATAAAGCCACGTGCACACACAACAAATGCCACCAATAACTTCAAGCAAATGTTTGAGAGGAAATATTTTTTTATATAATTTTACATGTTATTTAATAATTAATTATTTTTATTTTATTGAAACTTTGAGAAAGTTAGCACGGATAAGTTGTGTAAAGGGTAATATTATATGTATTTATTAATTTAATAATATATAAAAATTATGAAAAAAATTTGTATAAAAAAATTATTTGTATATTATTTTTTATCTTTCCCATATCGGATTCTTTCCTTTTATGAACAACCCAGATTATCATTATTAAATAGACACCACTTAACCAAAGTGGGATTTTTCCATCTTTATTTTTCACCATATAGGACAGGTGTTAGATTGCTATAAGTAACAAATGACTTCATTATCTTTTTTTATTTTATTTTATTTTAGTTATATAATGGGATGCAACCATTTCTTATCCATTTTTTCATTTCATCCGCATATTATGTAATTTAGAATCTCTTATTTTTAATGAAAAGAGATGATCATTGACTTATTTGCTATGTGATTTGGAGTCTCTTACTTTTAGTGAAAAGAAATGACTACTGACTTATTTAAGTTGTTAACGACTTCATTATCTTTTGTTTTGTTTTGTTTTTTGATAAATAGAATTGACTTCATTACCAAGCATGTGCATTTTAGAGTTTGGATATTTTCGATATATATGTTTTAAATCCAAAGTTCTTAGTCTTTTTATGCGCTGGATTCTATCAATTAAGTTTTAAGGATGGTTGCCATTGCAATATTTTATTGTAACCAATGATTTGCAGACAACAATGATGTAGTTTCAAAAAAGAAAAAAAATGCAATAATGATAGCTAGGTTACTATGGGTATTAGACATAATAAAAGTGTTCTTAAGATCGGATATCAACTCTCCCATGTGACTCAATGAATGGGTAACATTACTCCATGAGTAGCAGGTGGAGTTCGTTCGGTTTCTTGATTCAACTCTACCCTAAATAAATATTAATTCACTAACTCAATACCCTCTCTGTTAAAAATAAAGATGTTCTTCAAATCGGACATATATTTAATAATTTTTAAATTATTATAATGGTTAGTTTAATACAAGTATTTGATATAATAGAAGTATTTTTTTTAATTACATTATGTAATAATAGTATAGTCTAACTTATAAATTTAGTAAATTAATATTTTAATTAGATTCAAAATGGCATCCAAAAGGTGCTATTCCTTTGTTATCTTGATAACTAGAAAGTTTGATGACACTAAGAATTAATTATTTATAGTTTAAATGAAAAATCCGACCCTTGGCTTCCATTTGTTGGTATATCCCAATCATGGCTAGTAACATTCCAAGTTCATGGAGGACTAGCAAACCTGATTAGTATTTAATTCCCCTCTAGGAGGAGGCCTATTGATAGATTTTATAAGTGCTGCAGAAGGAGCTGCACTTTGATTATTTTAGGAAGCTTTTATATTCTCCATTTAGTTAAGCACTTGCCATTTTAATTTGCTGTATCATATTGTTTCATATGCAAGGACCACATATGAATAGTTCCAGGCTTCCAGCCACCATTCTGTATAAATTGGCACCCATTTCTCGCACTTCTCATGCTGTCTAAAAACAGAGGAAAAAAATGGCACTTTTGGTTGTCTTTTTGTTCTTCGTTTTAGTAGCTCATGTGTCAGCCCTTGATGCTTGCCCTAAATGTGGCAGCATGGAAGTTCCATACCCTCTGAGCACTGATCCAAACTGTGGAGACTCTAGATACAGAGTCTACTGCAACAATGATGCTCTAGAGTTCTTGTCAGCTGGAGGGTTCTTCTACAAGATCCTTAGCGTTAATCCCACTTCTTACAAGCTTGTCATAAGCCCTCCCCTGATTATAGAGAACACATGTTCCTCTTCTGATCTCATTTTAGGAGGTTTAAGGCTTGATGAGAACTTACCCTTCAACATATCCAAGAGAAACACTGTCATGTTGCTAAACTGCTCTGAGAACATCCTCCTCTCGCCGTTAAACTGCTCTGCTTACAGCTTTTGTAGGCAGTTTGAGGACGCAGATGAGGGAAGGGGTTGCAAAGGTAAACTTTGTTGCCACTTCTTGAAAGATGCATCCATGACCTCACATCAGATTAGGGTTAGGGTTGGGGGTTGTACTGCCTATACTTCTGTTGTGGATATAAAGCCGGATGATCCAGTTGATTCATGGAACTATGGCATTGAGCTTCAATGGTTGCCTCCAAATTGAATTTAGCTGGTCTTCATCAAAAGCTGTTGGTTCTGCATGTTTTGTGTGTTTTACGTTTCTATATATGTTTTCAGCCAGACCCGCTATTAGCACCTAAGGTATTATTTTTTTTTATAATCAATATTCTCTAGAATTTTCATTCTCGGTCAATCTTTTTTATAACTTAAAACTATTAAAAAACCCAAAAGTTAACCATCAAACTTTTTATTTACACCCTAATTTGTACATAACCAAATCGTTAATTTTAAGTTTTTTACAAGTTTTCAATTATAAAAAATGTTGACCGAAAATAAAAATTTTAGAGGATATTAACTGCAAAAAATAATAAATATCTACTATACAAATAGAGAGTTTGGCTTATGTTTTCAACTATTATATTATGCTTGTCTAAAAATGCTTTTCTATACACCAATGGCTGTTTTTTTTTTTTCCTTTTTCTTTTTTCTTTTGTAATGTCCGAGGACAAAGAATCCTCTATCCACTTCTGTTCCTGTTGTTCTATAGCAATAAAAAGGAAGTGTTTCTGTTCAATTTCATTTAAAGATGAAAAATAACCAAAACTTCTAAATATCACAAAAATTGCACGGATCAATATCAAAATATTTGGGCTCCATTTAAATTTAGTGTTTGAGAACAATTAATAGCTGATGATTTATAATCATTTATAATTTAAATACTCTTATTTTGCAATAACTTGAATTCTCACACAAAGAGGTAATGGGTTTACCTTGGGTAACAAATGAAAATTTTTTGGCCAACAAAAAAATAGCTGAATCAAATAGATACTTTTCTAAATAAAGGCCTTATTTGGTTTAGCAGTGTTGATCAGCACATAGCTAATATTGAATATCCAACTACTCAAGACAATTTTCTTCTTCTTTCTTCTTTCTTCCTTTTTTCTAGCCATTTTCAGTGGGGGTAGAGGTATTCAAAATCAATTCTTTTGGATGAAAGAT